TATATGCTATTAAACATTTTCGACAACGCAATATATTTTTCTGATTGGCGATATCACAATGCATTTACATTTTATATTTGTGAAAATATAGATTTCACTGCTTAGAGCTTCTATATCCCGTTCAGCATGTACTCGAGTAGTACTCGATAAGGAATCACTTAAAGTTTTAATAATTAAAGTTTTAATAAGTTTAAATAACCATTAAATTAAAATTAAATACGGGAAGCAGTAGTAATGTAAAAGAGTAGTGAAAACGTTATAGAAAATTTTGAAAATAAAATTGAAATGATGGGCTAGATCATGTTGTTGTGCCGTCACGTCTCGATAATGAAGAAATTCGGCAGAGAGGTTAGGGCTTAGATATGTTAGAGATCGTTGTCGGTTAAGGAGTTCGAACTCGCGTGAATATAACAAAACTAAAAATAGTTTATTGAAATAATAAAAAAGAAAGGTACAATCTGTTCGACGTACGTCGACTTGTAGAATATAGATATCGTTTACTAATTGGCTATTTTCTGGACCGAGTCTACCTCTCGAGACCATCTTATCCGTTAGGATTCTAATCGTAGATTGTCGGTTTTCGGATGTACAGCTATAAGCTGCACTTCTGAAAATATGACTATTGTGTGATTTTGTGATTTCTACATTTCGGTTGCCAGTCCGTCTTTAGTCCTGACTTAGCGCATTGCTACACGCGCGCACTGCTTGGCCTGGCGTTCCTCGATAGGGTCAGGGAACCCTCAGCTCAACAATGTAATAGGCAAACATATGGTGACTTGTTGTTTGAAAAAGAAAAAAAAAAGAAGAATATAGGAGGAGAGGAGACTTTTTACTAACAACAGTTTACGGATTATGCCTTCTCTCTATTTTGAATGTCTCCTTCTTTCTGTTATTTGAATTATAGAACTCTCTGGATCCTTTGAGAATAGGATGTTCTAGATCATTATCGATCGAGCGTAGTGGAAAATTCTAGACTAACGACTAGAGGGCATATAAGTCCTTCTAGACGCGCCCTCTAGTTAGTATAGAACGTGTACGCGAGAAACTCTACTCGTTGCTAAAACGCAGTGCGCAGAAGTGATAGACAGTGTATTGTTAGTGTGACATCTGGTGTTTCCATTTTAAATTAGTGATTGTGCTTCACACTCTCTTATCATAGTTTCTCTTTCTAGTGCACTCATCTATTAGCTGCATCTCTCAAAGCCCTCTCTCGAGCTTTTGCAAGACCGAGTAAACTCTCGTCTTGTAGGCAAAATTCTAGTAACTTCTCTACCCTACAAGAGTTGTCTTGCAATCTCCGTTTATTTCTCAATCAGATCTAAAAACTTCTCGTCGTGTTCGGGATCTTTTGGCCAAGTCTCTCCTGACACGACACATCTCACGAGTCTATTCACTGCTTCTTTCTCATCAAGCTTATATCTCATAATATCTGAGTTTTTTTGTTTTGTTTAAATCTAGATTAAGCTACATTTTTGCCGTCCTGCTGTTTAACCAGAATTTTTTGTATTACTGTTTTGTAACACTTATGTATTTGGCCTTAATATTATGATTTCAGTACTTTTTGTTAGAGGAATTCACATAACTCCTGTACTGGGCGTAGTTTTTTTTACATGTAAGTGTTTTTGGGTTTCAAATTACAGAAGAACCCCGATTAAGGCAGAGTGGAACAACGTTTCTTTGTATGCGTGTGTCACACGTACGAGAGCTCGATGGGAGGAAACTTCACACCCAAAAATCTCTCTACAGAAAGCACTATCAATAAATTGATGACACAAACCTGAAGCCTTCCGATAAAGTAACTTTCCCTGCGGAGTCGGATTTTTTAATTATTGCCAAGGAGACATATGAAATGTAGGTGAATATTGAGACTAACAGCCTATGGACCTGTCATGACGATCTAACGATATCCTTGCCATACCCTGTCTCACACTTATTGCACTATTGCACAGAACCGCGGACGAAAATCGAAAAAAGGGCCACGCAGGGAAAGTTCTACATCTATAAGCTTAATATCCTTTCAATGGGAATTTTTATGGTACAGCCATTTCCGAGATTTTTGGGTATTAACATACAGAACTGTCAATACACAGATTTTCCTCGCTTAAAACTTGAGTCGTTTGCCGCTACGAGCGCTCGTTTATCCATGACGTCAATATGCGCTGTAGAGGAAACGCAGAGGACAGCACAATCCTCCATCAAATTCACCTGCATTGTTCGTTCACTGTTTCATTATTTCACAAGGAGTCTCCAAAAATCGGGCTTTTGTAATTTTTTTATACTTATGGCACGTGAAGCTAAGAACTCGAATAGCATTTTGCCAAAGCAGTTTGATGCCATATTCAGAAATCCTTAAGAAAATCGACTTTGAAGTTTTACGAACGCTTTATGTACACTGAGCCACAGTAATGGTGACAACGGTGGACGTCGTGCGGTGAATTAAGAGAGGAGATTGGACGGCACGTGGTCACGTATCTTGGCCTGTGCGTGCAACGCAGACAGCACTACGGTGCGAGCGAGACGTCAGAGTGTCGCTCGGTGCGTCCTTGTTGCACAGCACGAGTGTAAGCGAGAAGCGTCCAGAAGCTGTAACCTATTCCTCGACACTATGTTGCACCTAATGCGTTGAGACGCTAGTCGCATATTCCTAGACACCACGTCGCAGCTATCTGTGTTTCGTTAGGGACTCAAATGAGCGGGGCGATGAATGATACACAGTTAACTGTTTTATTTGTTTTATATTGGGATCTTACAGAGGGAACACTAAAAATTAAACTTATTCGCACGACCGTCCCTGTTGTCCCCGGCCTGGTTAACGGAATTCTCCCCCGTCGTGGTTTCGCCCCCTTCCACCCGTTCGGCCGCGGGCTCGTCGTTACGCGTCGAAATCTCCCTTAGCCGCCGGGGGATTCCCGCGCTAATTCTCCCTCAGCCCTGGGCCCCTCTTCCCGTGCTCGACTTCCTTTCTTTCTTTCGGTCGCCAGGCAAATCATCGGCACACGAGTCGCAGGTCTCGTTACCCACGAGGTAAATCAGACGTCCTTTCCCGGTAGACGCAACCGCCAGTCTATCGCCATCGCGCTTCGCGGGCAATTCCACGAACAGAGAAAGCCAAGAACCAAGAACTAAAAAACCAAGAACTAATAACAATACTACAATATAAAATCGAATATAACAACATAATAATCGTACATATAATATACCATTTGAAGGACCGAGGGCCCATTCCGTAACAGTGTCCCACTAACACTGGGTGATGAGGATGGGTAACCAAAAAGTTGATCTCATTCACACTACCGAAAGTCGCGTAGCTCCTTCTCGTTTCTTATCGGGGTAGTAACTGTCTCGTCATAGAGCGTTAGTCTGAGAGAGAGAGCAAGAGCGTACGCCCGGACACGAGCAGTCCCCCACCAAGCTCCCTATTGCGCATAAGGGGCCTTGTTGCCGTCCCGCTGACACTCTGGCGTCTCGCTCGCACCGTAGTGCTTTCTGCGTTGCACGCACAGGCCAAGATACGTGAGCACGCGTCGCCCAATCTCCTCTCTTACCTCACTGCACGGCGTCCACCGTTGACACCATTATTGCGGTCCACTGTACATACAACGCTCGCAATACTTCAAAGTCGATTTTCTTAACAATTCCTGAATATGACATCAAACTGTTTTGGCAAACTGCTATTCGAATTCTCAGCTTCACGTACCATAAATATAAAAAACTGACAAAAACCCGTTTGTTGGAGACTCTCCTTGTGAGATAATAATCGAGTAAATGAAATTTAGGCATCTTTTCCTGCTTTATCGTTTTTTTTTTATCCCGTGATGTAAATACTTATCGGGACTTGGCGCGCTATATTAGATTGCTCAACGCTACTGAGACCGACTATTCGATGACGTCATACTATAGTAGCATGAACGGGAGCGGCGCAGCTCGGTAACGCTATGCCACGTCACGCTTATTTCCATAGTTGACCGTCATTCGGCAGCATTGTCAACTCAAAGTTCGTCGAGCTGTTCCATTCCCCCTTAATGGGAAGGTTCGGGACCAAATATTCTACGAATAATTGAAACCCCGTTGATCCGAATTAAACGTAATTTATTGTTCCCACTAGTACAATTTCAATGTAATGTACGGGAACTCATGTGTTTTGGCAAATCTAAATTTGTGACGATTCAAACGCCGAGGCAGTTAGCATATTTTAAAATTAGACATGTCTCGCGTTTCGCTCAATCGCGCGGTACTCTCTGCTCACGGGAGGCACCGAGGCATTAAAAGCAGCAGCGCGGTTCAACCCACAGTTCAACCGCTCCTCGGACAACTCGATTTTACTGTATCTGCAGATAAACAGGATTACTAAGATATTCGTATTATTATTGGCCTCGTGAAGACCTTTCCCTTCTGCGCTGAATCTAAACGCGTTTTCGTTCGTCAGATATTATTTCAAAACATTGATATGTGAAATAAAAATTAAAAAACGAGACGTTTCCTGATTTTGGAGCCTTCGGAATCACGAGACTTTTTGTAGGGTTTGTGGACTGGAGTTTTTTAAAATAAAAAGATGATGATATATTAAGATAAAGCATATTATTGGGAAAACATTCCTCAGTTTATTATTAGTGTCTACATATGGAAAAAATCTAGTAATAAGTGGAAAAAATGATATTTTTAAAGAATAGTTAAACGATAACTTAAATGACGACATAAAGCGTCATCCGCACCCAAGGGAAAATCTTAAATGACGACATTAGGCGTCATCCGACGTGAATGTGTTAAGGTCACTAACAGAGTCACTATTAGTTAAAAGTGACTGCGCCGAGTTGTTAGTGACCGTATTCAGAACTCGCTTTTAAGCCGCTTTTAGCTAAAGGTACGCTAACAGGGAGCAGCGTCTTATAACATGTACTTTCAACCGCATTCGGAATTATTCGGGAAGACTCGGGCATATTCGATTATGTCCGGGTGTATTCGGTGGCATTCGGAAAGCGCGAACTTCATATTTGGTGCACATACCAACCATGTTTCAAATTCGAAATCACAAGAATTCTCTTTCTTGAAGGTAAGCTATTAATATTAAATTAATACATTAAAATCATGTAAATGTGGTTAGTATGTATAACTATTATATAACAGGCATGACATGAAAATGACAAACATGTAATTCGTTGTCCAAATCACCATGCAACGAAAAGAGAATTTCACCATCGAGGAAAAAGCGTTAGTCGTACAATTTGTAAGCGACAATCGTGATATATTAGAGAATAAAGCAAATAATACTAGATTGCAAAAGAGTAGAAGAGACAAATGGATGGAACTAACAGAGAAAATGGCAGCGACTGGAATTAAGAGGGATTGGAAAGATATTAGAGGTGCATATCAGCGGTGGAAACTCGCAGCAAAGAAGACTATTTCTTGCTATCGCAAGCATGCGACTGGTACAGGCGGAGGTCCTGCACTCCCAGAACCTTCCGGGCTCGATTTCACAATCAGTGAAATTTGCCCGGAAGATTTTGTGGAGGATGAAAATCCCCATGACTCCGATAGCCTCGTATGTATTATTTGTATTATAGTTTTAATTAATTATATAAATCTACATTATTATATATATTATTCGAAATATATTCATATTTGCAGAGAAGAACGAATCCAACATTGAACACGGTGGAAAAGTCTGAGAATGAAGTCACATACGAACTGGATCCGACAACTGGGTATAATAATACTTGGTACATTCGTATTCATATTGTCATCTTCCTTATTTGTTTATAATGTTGTATTT